TTGTCGATAAAATTTGCTCTAACAAATTACCGCAAAATGCTGAACATGTTTTAGAAAACAAAAAACCCTTACGACCAGCGGATGTGATGCACAAACTCCAACAGCAGGAAACGACTACAACTATATCTTCGGACGAAAGTTTTGCAGAACATGAAGCGATAACATCAACACCTACAAGTGAGAAACTAAAAATCAATAATGATTTTAAACAACGCTTGGAGAAAATTTTAGCATCGCCGATACGACAACCAAGCAGCTCGATTGTACAGAGTAAGCCTGTGCAAGCAAGTAATGCTCCGGTGCCTGTACCAAGGAAACGTGTTATGTTTAATACGCTGAGAAGTGATACAGAATCTCTTAGTAATGAACGCAAATTTGTACAGTGAAGTTAAGTTAAAAATTATAAATGCAATTATTTACAGTGATGAAAAAAATAATAGAAAAGGCTTAAATTACTGTCTTTATCTTGTATATGCTCTGTTAAAATATTTATTTTCTAAAGTCTTCAAATTTATAAAACAGTAGTCCAAGTATATGTAATTAATATGTAATTATAATTAAACAAAAAAAAACAAATTTCCCGCAATTCATAATAAAAGAAATGGTAGTGTCGTTTTTCTCTCTCCCTTGTCATACCATTCGATTTGCACCTTATACGACAGATATACCATTTTTGGAAATTCGGTTTTTAAAAATTCTCGCATTATGTTCTATTGGAATTAAGCTCGGCAACTGCGAAAGACATACTAATATCGCAATATTTTTCTCCATGTACCTGAACCTTGCTATTCAAGAGGAATGTTTTGGATCGTTATCCTGCATAAACTCCCATAAAAGTATTTCTTCCTCTGCATATAAAAGCATTATATTATTAAATATATGAATATTGTCTGTTCTGCACATCTTATCTGTTATCCAGTATAATGGACCAATACCTGATGAGAGCATCTTATAAGATTATGTTACCGCTACCGTGTTATGTTGTGTACTTTGAATCGCGTCCACAATTTTTAAACGTCTTACATGTGGTTTCCCATCAGATCTACATAAATTAACTTTAGTTTCGGCAAACTAAAGCACATAAATCCAATTATTTCGCAACAAATGTGTTCTTGCAAAAATTATTCCACAGGATATGTTTATTTTGCTGAGAAAAGGTATGTTTCTTGCGGAATGAGTTTTTAAGTCCATTACTTTTAGTCTATTTTGCATTATTCTACTTGTTACTTTTGCATTTAACTATTTTTTTTTTGGATCTTTCCATAAAACAAATGGTTTTTTCTTGCTTGCCGAATCAACAATTGGTCACACCTTTCAAAGGTATCCCGATTTCGAATTCAGTTTTCTTGTTTTTTTTTTTTAATTATTTGCAGAGTACACATTTTTTTTGCAGCATTTCATTAATTTTGTAATTTCTTTCTTAAATTTAAGATATCTCGTTCCATTTCTGTGTAATGACTCTTACGACCCATTCTGATGAAGATCACAAGAGTATTAGTTACTACTATTGCTGTTTACAAACTTTTAAATACCACCGGCGTCAAATAAATTAACTCTGCCAAAATTGTTTTTATAATAAAAAATGTAACTATTTCTATTTTTTTTTTCCAACCCAAAACTGCATTTTGTTGCTTAAAGTGTGCACATCAGTAATATTTTTGCCGAAATAGGTATAAGGTATAATAGGTATATTAAAGTATTTTCATCAAAATAACATATAACATGCATATAACATTTCAAAAAAATAAAATATACTCCTTGAAGTAGTACAAACCTTCTCGTTTCTATTATTTTTCCACCACTGTATGTATGTATATTCAACTAAATTATATAAGTTAAAATTTATACACAATATAAATTATAAAAATATATGTATATGACTTAATTTGTACTTTATAGATGTGACGATAATTAGTTTTTATAGTTATTGGCAACTTTTTCTGGAATTAATTACACATTAAGCACACATTTTGGTCCTTAACATGATTTGCATCCTATTCCTTCTTGAAACTTCGTTCTTTTCACTGCATAGTACTGCACTCGTCGATACGAACAAGGTGTTTGCTCGATAAATACTAAAGTTTGTATGAAAAATTTGCGAATACGTTAAGGATAGTCACATTTAAATAAGTTCTGCTTGGTTTTTTTGTATTAAATCAGCTATTAACTGATATGGAATAATATGCTGGGAACCCGCTGCGAAATCAACTTCTTCATCATCTACGCCAACTACCACAGATGGTACTAAAATAAAAAGGAACGTATGAAAAAAAACTATTTTAAATTTTTTTATACGCAAATACTAACTTACCAGATACTTTAGCTTTAACAAAAACATGGCTCATTACATTTGGCCGCACTATACGCTGTTCGGCATCGGAACGTTGCATATTTGGCATATATTGCAGCGCCACTTGATTAAAATAATTTTCGGTGTTATCATGCAATTCTTGTGCAAATTTAGTTTCTTCGGGTGATAACCGCTTGTTATCAGTGTCATAATTAGCTTCTTCATTTAGTATATGACGAGTATAGGTTTCTATTTTTTGTAAGCGGCAACGCAAATAGCTGGCCATAACGTATCTAATTCGTTCCAATTCCATGCGATGCGTTATATACCGAAAATCATTTTTATCTAAGTCTTTCATATTTTCTTCCATATGCACTACTTGACCCATCATTAATTCCAACATATCACTTTGGTGCGGCAAAATTTCAGGTGCATTTAGTTCATTGCGCCAAGATGTTTCTAAAAATTCAAGCACCTTTTGTTAAAGGAGCGTAAAATATATTTAAGTTTTTTTTTGTAAATAACCAAAACCTTACCTTTTGTGCTGTGATCAATTCTTCTTCATCCTCTTCAACACCTAATTGTATATCTTCCAAATCTTGCTCAGACATTTTGTTGATCAAAGTAAAAAATTGTCAACAATCTTTCAAAGCCAAAAACAACAAAATGCGCGCCTGATGTAATTATTTGCACTTTCCTACAGTTTTATACAAGCTTAAAGCAACCCTGAACAAAAACACCAACAAAAACAACAGTGTTGTTGTCGCGATTCACGTGCGAGGCACTTTTGACATTTGTTTTGAATCCAAGCAGAACAAAGATGTCACAGGTTGACGAATTCCAAAGAAATTTTCGTTTAATTGTTGAAAAGATTTTTAATAGTTGGCAAAATTTACGTTTAGCGGTAGAACATGGCATGGGCGGACGTAATGGTCAACAGGTAATAGTCGTAATTCATGTACCTGTTAAGACGTACTTTATATAAATAAATAATTATAGGTAGCAATACAAATAATGGACTACACTTACCAATATTGTGTTGGTAATGACAATATTACACAAGGTGAGCTCCAAGCTGTTATAGAGGAATTAATGGATCAAGAATTCAATACGCTGTGTGATGACAATTCTATACAAGGTACATTTTGTAAACCAATTAAGTGGGATTTTAATACAATCATTCATTATCTCCCTAGAAATCTCGCGTAATTTATTACGCTATAAACAGATGTGTCTACAGAACCAATACCAAAGTGTCGAAGATGAGTTGAAAAAATTGCCAAATTGTAAAGAATGGTTACGAAATGATGTCAAAATTGCATACACTCCCATAGCGGGTGAAGACTCTTCCACTGATGAAGATGATGGCAGCTCCGATGAGGGAGAAATGGATATCGATGACTCTGATGACAATGAAGCAGCCACATCTAGCCGGGTGACACGGTCTCAAACTCGCAAACAGCAAGACGATTTTGTGGAACCAGAACCTGGCTGGACAACTGTACGCAGTAAACGTAAATAAAGCAAAAATACCTAAATAAAAACATCTGATAGATATTGTATTAAAAAGTCGGGAAACACTAATACCATAATACTATAACTTTTATATCATTACAGCAACTGATAAAACTAATACTTAAATAAAAATAATTTATATAAAAGAAAGATATTTTTTAATATATGTTATATTTATAGACACTATAAATGATATACCGTGATGCAAGTGTAAAATAAGCCATGTTGTGACAGGTTTTTATAAATAATCTACTTATTTTTACTCTCTAAAGAGAATAGTGTCAATAGTTACCAAAACTTCGGTACAGCAGGAACCGTTGAAAAACAATTGTTTTACGCTAATTACACTCTTATTTCGACAACGGTGCTATAATGTAACTATTATTACGGATGGTTAGTCTCCAAATGTCGACTTATAAACAAATAAGAAGAGCAATCCTCTGAGTTTCAAGCTTATAATTATTCTGATTATTAGATTAAAATATGCATAACAAAGAAAGAAACAAAGAAGCGTGATCCGCTACAGCACAACAAAAAATTTAAACGTCAGTAGTTCACTGAGTGGACTGAGTTTAAAAAGAGTAGAACCACTTACATGATTACAAAGAAGCATTGAAGAAGACATGTACAGCGGGAGCGGGTGTAAGTTCAAAGATTAACCATTGACGTATAGAGCGCAAATTTAAAGACAGCTTTAGCTCACGCCAAGCTGTAAATACTATCATTAGGATAATAACTGTACTATAATTAACGTATATAAAATCAATTTTATAGTAAATTTTTTTTAATTAAGTATTACACTTTTATTAATGAAATAAACATTTAACCAAAAATATTTCTGTTAACATCACTTAAGTCCAAAAATCTTAGCGTTGCTATTTGAGTTAGTACTGCTGGTTGATGTGTTTCTTTGCATACTGCACAAGGATTCTTTTCATCTTTTGTTTTTTTAATACTTTTAACTGTTTTGTTAGCCGTATGTATATCTTTCCAGGAATTTCTGCAATTTTCAGGTAACAATGATACATCCACAACAGAAGCCAGCTCGTCAACGTTTGCCGTCATCGACAAATTAATTGCAGGATATATGAAAAACGCAAAGAAGAATAAGCCCATCAGTACTAACATCGGCAAACATATACTGAAGTATTTATTAGGCATAAAGTCTATACCGCAGCTTTTTAATAAATTGTTAGGCAATAAGGCCCATAGAAAATATAAAATAAAAAGTGTGAAAAAGAACAAATATATAGCGAATCCATATACTGCTCTATGTGGGCTTGGAGCTGGTGTGTGAGCTGGCATTTCTTCTGCCGAATGCTTTTATTGTATCTGTACACAATACAAGTAACTCAAAAAATGAAGCAATTGCTGAGCGCAGATTTTTTACTTCATCGGATACAAAATGAACTTCTAAATCAAGACCTTGTAAAGTAAACTCTTTCTGTACAAAATTTCGACGCGGCTCTACATCAACTTTTAGAACACGGTACGCGATTTCAGCATTTCTCTCCGTGTCAAATGACACTTTAATGGTGCTATAAGTATTTTAAATTAATTAATAAGCGTTACAAAATTGCAAAATAAAATTAAAACTTACGCTTCAGTTGGTCTATCAGACGTATTAATAATATGTAGCGACATATCCTTACAACATTGATATTTATATTGTCAATACAAATATCCAAAACATATTTTGACAGCGCAGTACAATTTGTAAATAAAAGTAATGCAACTGGGAGTAAATTTAAAAAAGTAGTAAAAAGTAGTGATCAGGGTTTCTTCATTAATTACGAGCAATTGTACATTATACTATGTTCAGACACACCTTAATTTCGCAAAATCTTAATATCAAAAAATTTCTTAATTTCGTTTCAGCGAAACTAAATTGTTTTTTCCATATAAAACTTAATTTTAAGGCTAGAAAGATATTAAGGAAAATGCCCTTAATTTCGTTGAAACGAAGGCTGAAATTAAGGGAAATTTTAAAAGCAACTATGCGCAAGATAAATTTTAAGTAAAAGATAAAGTTGTTATAAAAAAAAAGACATTTTTTTAAAATAAATGTCAGTGACAGTTGACTTTAATTAAACCGTGAAAATATTTTGAAAGCAGTACAAATTTTTAAATTTGCATATAGAGAAAAATTTTTAATTTAAAAATTTTTTGTTTTTAATTTAAAAAAAAAATAACAATTTCTAAAAATAACAATTTATATACCTGAAATCCATCCTTTATAGTTAAGGAAATTTGGCTGTCTGAACTTAAGTTAACAACGCAAACGTTGAAACACTTTAAATTTACCAGTATCAGCAAATAAATTATTTTTTAATAAATATTATCTTACTCATGTTTCATTTATTTATTGTAATTCCATTGTAATATGTTTACAATAAAATAATATATAATTAATTTCCGTCAGCATATGAAGTACATGCCGTACTTGAAAATCAATAAATTCAAAATCAGGTTTTTAAAGCGCTATATAGTGAGCGAACATCTAAATCGGTTTTTTAATTTTTGAACAAAGTCTTCATAGAATACAAAAAAATTAACTAAATAACAATTGTAAGCCGACAATTTTTAACTCATAGTATTAGGTCTGTTCGCAAATAGTTTTATTGAACCAATAAAATGAAAGTAAAATCATATTCACTTAGCATAATAATCATGAAATGATTGTAATCTTGTTTTTTCAAATTCTCATTGTAGCAAAATCTATATGAAATCACAATTCGAATTATCCACAATATCGCTACACAATTCTATTATTTCAAATTATAAAATTAATTTTAATTTGATTTTGTATAAATATTAATTAAATTGTAAGTTTTGTTGCCGGGATCTTGTATAGAATTGTATTTCAATTTATTTTATACTGAGTTGTAAGAGCCTAAAAATCTGAATTACAATCATAATTAGAACTATTTTAATTCGGAGCTACACGAGCTACTCGTAGTAAAATTCATGTAAAACACAAGTAAAGTACAAACTGAGAGCGTAACACCAATTCCGCGTAAATAAACAATACAAAAATTTAAATTAAAAAAAAAACAGCTGATTCACACATCACATAAATTTTACTTGAAATAAAATGTACGAGTAAAGTCTATTTAGCATTTTCAAATTTCGACAGGGATTTTACGCTCTCTTAGATGCTTTCATTTACTCAAAAATTTTTGCTGGTGGAACGGAATTGTGACACACAGTGTTACTCAAAGTTACTACGAGTGGAACAAAAGTGATGTGATGTCAATTTTGTGAGTAATTCTTATGAACGACAGAGTTCTTGTGTAACACGAAATATTTCTATATCTAATATTTTTGTTTCAGGGCACAATTACATGAACAAATATGATCCGAACAATAATTGTGCTTACAGTATCCGAACAATTAAAAGACGAATAAACATTACAAATATACTTTGCATGGCAAATCCTTCTCATGGCTATAATGAGCAAAACCTACTAAATGAGACATTGTGAATGTGCTATAAGTACAAATTTTTTAAATTGTTCTAATATATTTATATATACATACTTTCAATTTATTCATTTTATTTATCATTTACTTATTATTTATTATCAGGAGTGGCCATGTAAGTTATGGAGCCTTACGAAGATATCTTCTTTTAGTTTGGTTAGAAAATATATATATGTATATATATATATTTGTATGGCAATTCATTCTCAATTGTGGCTATATAATGAGCAAAACCTACTAAATGAGGCAGTGTGAATGAGCTATAAGTACAAATTTTTTAAATTGTTTTAATATATTTATATATACCTTTAATTTATTCATTTTATTTATCATTTACTTATTATTTTTATCAGGAGTGGCCATATTAGCTAAGGAAGCCTTGTGAAGATATCTTCTTTTAGTCTGATTAGAAACTATATACTTTTGTTAAACATGAAATATAATTTGTGCAAATGATTGTTTTTCTATTTTCTTTTCAAAGGAGAAAAAATCTATGAGACGCAAGAAAGCATAAAAAATGAGTGTAAATACACAGGAATTCTAAGCAGTTGCCAATTGAAGACATATAGTTTATGTTATATGGATAGTTGTATACAGTATAGTTGAAGTCAAACTACTGTTGTCGATACAGTGGCTAGAATTGATGTAAGTTTAAGTAAGTAAATTAGTTCCCAAAAATTTTCTTTTGAAAAAAATAATATCCTATAGTATAGTTTTAAATATATTTTTATTTGGAGCACTATGTCCACTCAGTATGTATATATATATCAATTTTTAAAAATTTAATCAATCACACGAATTAAACAAAACAAAA